GGAAGGGAGGCTCTCGTCTCTTATGGGGGGGTTCAGCCATAATTTGAACCCTGGGTGTTGTTTGAGGTGCCCTGAAATAGATTCATATTTAGTTAAACCCTGGTTCCTTAGTTAAGTACCCTGTATGTAACAGATCATCGTGTGGTACCACCTGATTTTTTGAACGCTACTGCTAATGTAAGTGATCGGCTGAAAACTAAAGCATAATACAAAAATTCTGTCACTGAAATGGACCTTCCTTGGAAAATTCAAAGTTTTGAATGACCCATGTTTAAACCTTGGGTTTTTTGTTAAACTTAGCAGGAAAAATACATATTTACAATCCACTGAACTGCAACGCCCAAAAGAGATTTTTTTTTTTAACTGACCCAAGTTTGGGCAAAACCAAGGAAATGATTGCAAGGGGAGGTTCAGTAAGCATGATGAGTTTAAGAAGAACTCTGTCTACTAGAGGCTGTTGTCAGAACGTTAAATAAACTAGCATTTTGTGTGCTTAGCGCTCTGCGAATATGCAAAGTACTGGTGCTCAAGCTGTGGCCCATGGGCTGGATGCAGCCCAGTCAGCATAGTGCTGCAGCCCGTATGACATCCTGTTAAATGGATATATAGGAAGTAAGCATGGGTTCGGCCCATGTAACATTGAGAGTTGCAAGTGAGGCCCACTATGGCAAATAGGTTGAGAACCACAAGCCTAAACACTACAACTTCAGAGTTGCTGAATCAGCCAAGATATTCACTAGATGGCACTGTTAGACAGCAAGTGTTTGCACTGTAACAGCAATGGCACTTGGAGTCTTTATCTGAATGCAAAGAAATTGCTACCATTGGAACAGGAACCAGGGATCCTGCACCTCTTGTCTGCAAACCAAGACTGAGCAAGTCTCCTGACGGATGCTTCAGATGACGCAGCAGCTGAGCCCCACATAAGACCGACAGGGTCTTATGTGACCCCATAAGACCCCACATAACGTACATCTGGTCTACACAGAGAGATCAGCAGAGGCTCCCTATGCCTGAAGAAGGGTGACTGCACCTGAAAGCTTGCCAAGATCTTTTTTCCAACTACTCAATTGGTCTAATAAAATATATCACATCTACTCAAAGAACGTTGCCCTGCCTATGTCCTTAGACCAGCGCGGCTACAACCCTGTTGTACAACCTTGCTACAACCTGCTACAGCCCTGTAACAGCAATAGCTCTTCAAGGCTTTATTTGGCTTTTGGAAACAGTAGGCTTATATATAAATGAATAACAACACTCACACTTTTGCAAACACAGCCACGACTAACAGGCTCAGGATTCAAGACAGTGAAGCCTATGTGAGCACAACTCGGGAGCGCCCACAATAGATCTGGGGCTTGTGCTCTGCTTGGTGACTAGATTTCTTTCCATGTCTGAATCATGATAGGCTGGCCACGCTGAACCACACCCAGCACAGGCAGCAGTGGCGGAGAGGGGGCTGGGATCAGCTCCGAGCTGCCAGCTAAGCTAGTTTTTCCACTGTCCTCAGAGAAGATAGAGCCAAGGCTGTTCAACACACTTGCCAATGCCAGGTGTGCAGAACACCCCAGGAGCTCAGGGAAGTGTCCTCAGACTGTTTTTGGCTTTCCAAATCAAGCGGCTGAGAGGCCTCCCCAGCGGCAAAGGGCAACTCTTGGGCCAGCCCTTCCACGACAACTCCCCTCTGGGGTGCCGGGAGCGACGCCAATCGTTCCTCCCGCCCCTGTCCGTGCTCCCGGCCCCACCTCCCGCTCAGCCCGGCCTGGAGGGAGCCACAGGCAAGTGACGTCACAGAAGAGCAGAAACCCTGACAGTCTGTGGTGGGGGGAAGACACGCTGTGATTGGCTGAGGCGGGAAGAGGCGGACCCCGGAAGGAAGGTGTTGGTTCAGGCAGCGGCGGTGGTGGCCACGTCGGCTGGTGCTGGAGGGCGCGGGCAGGTGCGCAGGGGCAGGCCCGGGGGCGCTGGCGCCTG